TCCAGAAGGCTGTGGCGGAGTATCATGATAGTATTTAATATGCTCATACCAATATGATTATGGTGGTAGAATTGTCCGATCAGAATTTAATGAAGTGTAACGTAACTTATAACGCCTCGAAGGTCAAGGAAGAAAAGTGACTTTTTTGCCCCCCCCCCTCCTGTATACGGCTCACCTCAAACGGGAAAAATCGGGAAAAGCCAAAAACGGGATGAAAATTCACAGCGACGCTCCAACTGTTTTTGTTAAGTCGGATAAGACTTTATCGACCGAACCCGGCTCCCTTCCTCGGAGACCGAGTACGACCCTCTGATTGGTCTGTCCCAGCTACATCGTATCGTGCCTGAAAACAGAAGTTCCAAACTTCGGTTACTCTCTCGCAAACCCAGGATAGTCGATATTACTTCTCAGTTCTTGTGTATGGTCGTGTTCTACATTGGAAGACGATTTTGTACACAAATGGGTCCTGAGAGGGATCATGAGAGTCCTTTCGTTGAAAGTCGCTTACCGCTGAACGATAAGCTCCACTAAATAGCCCCAGAATATAATAAAGTGAAAAATGATTGTTTAATATGGTGGAAATAATAATTTTTGTCCCAGAGATGATTGTGAAAGCCAACGCTGTAAAGTTGTCAAGTCTTATGTGAGGATTATTGCAGATACCTTGTCGTCTCTCTGTCCACACGTTTGGTTATTCACGATGTCGTCACACTGACGGAATTACGTTCGATCAAGGTGGTCCAGCCACCTGAATGTTGCGCTCCTGCCATCGCGCTTAATCAGCAATTCATTGCCTATGCGGATTTCAAGGTGAGGTCTAGAGTGTGGCTTTACTGTTGACGTGAAGAAGGGGTGAACTTGGACTTGACCACTCTCGGCTGTCTAAGTCTCATAGTAGCAGAATATGGAGGGGGGGGGCTGTATTTGGTCATTAAGGCTTAGAACCCTGATATACTTTCGCTGTCGTTGATCTCGAACAGTTCAATTCTTCTTCCGAACGAATCAATATTGATTAATGGTTCCAAAATGTCAGCTAGCACAATCTCCTTCGGAAAATCCTATTTCATACTACTTCTCGATCTTCCACAAATTTTTGGCTAAGCTTTGCTAGGCGGACTCTGACGGTACTGACTGCGTCCCAGAAGTTTCACTGAACTTGAAACGCCTATGTAGAAGAGCTTTTTACTGACTTTTCCGCGATAATAGAATGAGCGGGAAAATGGGTGGAGACTCGTAACGAGTGTGCCTTCCTCACTGGCGCATGCATCCTGTGCGGCTTAACAGAAGGGCCGCCCATTGAGGAAGGCACAATGGTTATGATTATCGCAGAATATCGTCTTAAGTGAAGCGATTTCGTTACTGTCAGCCTCAGCTATAAGACTTTCAGTACTTAGCTAGAGTGGTGTTAAAATGGTTAGCTTTGCAATGAGTCATGGACTTAGATGCCTTGAAAAATATGAAGCCAATGCTCATAAGTACCAATTTTAGCTGAATCCGGATGTGCAGAGTTGTGGAGGAATGTGCACAGATATAGATGACATGCCGGCGACGTATGCAAATCAGGTCTTTATTGTGGCAAAGGTAGGTAGTACAGGTCGTACTGGTTTCTTTTCGTTTTGAAAAATCACTCAAAACCGAGTCATTGTTCCGTCTGGTTTCTCAACAGTGAGATTTCGCTACTCCAACATGTTTCTGGATTCATGATGAATCCTTCCAAATGCCCTTTGTTCCCTTTGCATTATCGATCACGGAAGGGTATGCTTCGGTGCAAATTGCTGGAAATGCAATTTTACCAGTTGCACGGAATTG